TATTTATTTATGACTATCTGGACCTGTGTGGTGTTTCTAAAATGATTTAGGAGCAAGCAAAACAAATTACCACAGTTGCACACGTTACTATTGAGAATGGAAAAAGAACATTCTTCTGAGATATGTAGTATAGATGAGATAGCAGGGAGATGTGGAGCGAGACAGTAATCTTTCTGAAGAGTAGCATGAGTAGTTTTGGTTACTGTACTTTAAATATGTTGTAATAGAGAAGGCAAAAGGATTATATTTAGGTACTTGGCCCTCTGTGGCCTGATTCTGATTTTTTCCAAGGGAGGAGAATACAGCTTCACCACGCCTGTTTGGCCATCTCACTGTGGGGACCAGAAGCCAAACACTTTGGACTCTGAGGGTTTTTTCCTAGACAAGCTAGCCTGCAAACAGCTTCAGAGGGTAAAGAGCAGGATATGGTTTATGTGAAGAAGAGTTTGCAAGCTGCTGTGTTTATCCTAGAGATGAGACTAACGGGTAATAGTTACGTGCTGCTTTCCAGAATTTAGATGGTGGTAATATGACGTTCTCTCTGATTGTTGAAAATCAGCTTCGATTTAAGTGAGAGTTTGGATGTAAAAAACAGTTTTGGAGGGCAGAGTTTTAAAACATCAGAGACTGGGGCTCAGTGCCTGTGGCTCAGTGGCTAGGGTGCTAGGCACATACACTGGAGCTGGCGGGTTCAAATCCTGCCCGGGCTGCCAAACAGCAATGCCAACTACAACCAAAAAATAGCCAGGTGTTGTGATGGGCGCCTGTAGTCCCAGCTACTTTGGAGTCTGAGGCAAGATAATCAATTACGCCCAAGAGTTTGATGTTGCTGCGAGTTGTGATGTTACAGCACTCTACCAGGGCGACATAGACTCTGTCTCCAAGAAAAAAAAAATCAGAGACGAGGAGTGTCTGTCTTTGAAAATTTTGAAGATAATCATCTATCTTGTGTGATTTAAATAACTCCCACCTCAAGTTTGGGTCGTGGCTGTTAATCTGATTTCAATATGCACATTTCTGGGGTAAGGAATTATACTGTAGTATTGGGACTGTTCTGTGTTCGCGTTAGAATCAATTCAGTTTATTTCCTCTGCCCCAGGTATAGTGACTCTCCCTTTGTCCCTCTTAACAGGCAGATTTGAAGAATCAGCTGGGAGATGCCGGATATGTACTATTTGGAGTGGTGCTTTTTGTTTGGGAACTCTTACCTACCAGCTTAGTAGTTTACTTCTTCCGAGTTAGAAGTCCTGCAAAAGACCTCGTAAGTCAACTATTTTATACTTGCCGAAAATATCTCCTAATTCTGATTATGAGACCTGCGAGTAGAACTTCCGTTTAGCTTTTCAGTAGAGA